GCAGGCGCTGCCCCCCCCTCACCCTCCCCTCCCTTCGCCCGCTCCACCCCATGGCCTCACGAACGGAAAAATGTCTTCAGCAGAAACCTCCCAGCTTTTCATTCTCTAATCTGCAGCATCTGTGCCCAGCCCTGGCCACAGCCCCGGCCTGCCCTGCAGCTCATGCTCGCAGGCTGGTGCAGGTGGAGCCTCTCCTGCTGGGCAGCTGGGCTGGTGGAGGTGGCACTGCCGCCATCTGCCACGCTGCGACGGTGTCACCTGCACCTCTGGGTTCCCACTGCCTGGGCAAGGGGATGGTCTCTCAGGGCACCCCATCACCTGGGTGATTCACCACAGCCCAGGCACCCACCCACTGTTTGCTGTCCTGTACCTGCCACGAAGATCAGCTTTGGCTTATTTTTCTTTTATTTTATTTTGCAGAGCCAGGATGAGCCCCACGTGCTGCCACAGGCCTCGATGCATTCACCAGCATCCCCTTAGCTCACGGTGGGATGGGAAACCAGGCCATGGCTGGTTCCAGGCACTGGGGTCACCTGGTGATGGGTGGTCACTTCTCCTCCTCAACTTGCCAGATGGATTCACTTTCACCAAGAAATTGGAGGGCTGGGGTGGTTTCCATCCACAGAGGCTGGGGAGACTCTCTGAGGGCTCAGTGCCTGCATGCCCAGGGGTCTCCTGGGCAGAGGGGTCTGGTCTGTGCTCCCAGGCCCTCCTGGACTGCACAGGCAGAATCGTCCCTGCTTCTCATCACCTTTGCTGCTCTTCCTGCCCCGGTGGTGGATGGGGCTATGACACCCGTGCCAGTGGGGTGGGAGCTCTGCCAGCCCACGGTGGTACCAGCTGGGGGGTGTTTGAGTTAGGTAAAACAGCAAGGTATATGGGCACGTGGCAGTGACAGTACAGAGCTGGGAATCTCATGATGCTCCATATCTGGCTCATCACACTCCTACCCAGCAGACCCTCATCCTTCACCTCTGGGGCTTGTTCCTTTTTGTCTTTCCCTTTTTCCTCTCTTTCCCCCTTTTTTTTTCTCTCTCTATCTCTTTTTTTTTTTTTTTTTTTTTTTTTTTTTTTTTTTTTTTTTTTTTTTTTTTTCTCAGTGAACAACTTTATTTCCCACTTTGACATTTTCCAGACCCACCTGGGAGCCTGCTTGCCAGAAGGAGAAATGGCACAAGAGGAAATACATCTTCACAGCCTTGAGAGAGGAGAAGGCTGGAATCCGAGTCCATAAACAGCGTTGCTGCACACTGAGCAAAGGCAGAGCAGGTTGGGCTCTGGAGAGTGTAACCCCACCTCTGCTGCTCCAATGCCAATTAAAAATAAAGAGGAGAAGAGGAGCTTGTTTGGTTCTCCCTCTCGGACTGGGGATGCCGTGCAGGGAAACCCCTTTCACAGATTTTTTTTTTTTTTTTTTTTTTTTGTCGTGGGAACCCCCCAGTGCATGGAATAGCTCAGGCCTGGCCTGGCTGGCTGGGACCTGCCAGGAGCCCTCCCTGGCACCCCCAGCTTCCCAAATGCCACCATATCCCTGCCCTGTGTCTGGCCAAGCTCCTGCAGCACCCCAGGGTGGGACACAGGGCTCCCTGGGGGTCAGGGAGCTGCCTCCAGTGAGGAGCCACAAACAATACCCATTTCTGTCCCAAACAATCAGCCCAGCTCTTTCCACTGCCCTGAGTGTGGCCACCACCGGCGCATGTCCCCGTGTCCTTGTCCCTGGCAGTGAGCAATGTCCTCCTCCTGCCACCTGCCCTGGGTCATCAGTGCCCTGCCTCTCCTGGCAGGGAGGTTCAGCTCAACCTGAGCAGTGCTGCAGCGGGTTTAACTTTGATTTAAACAGGTTTTCTCTGGCCTTGAAGATGATGTGTTAGGGTGGTGGTTACCAGGGATGGCAAGGAAGTGGCAAAAGCTGCTCCCTTCAATGCCTTTCTGCTGAGCACTGTCACATCACCCGCCAGCATCGGTACTGACAGCCCAGAAAACACGAAAAAAATCAACCTGAGACGCGCTGGTGCTTTATTTTATATTGGTCAAAGCCTGATCTTGATTAAAGCCCCTTCCCAGCTGTGCTAGTGCTGGTACCCGGTGACCTGGCGCTGTCCCCCGGCGGTGAATCACTTGGAGCATCATTTACTCTCCCACCAGAGCACGAGAACATTCTCCCGCACCCGAAACCGCCAGGATAACCTGCGCCTTTGGCACCGGGGTGATGGATGGATGCGAGCCGGCCGGGGGAGGAAGCGCTGCCGCGGCTCCCGCAGCCCCTCCCCGCAGCCCGGGCCCTCCCACCCCACCGCAGCTCGCAGCCCTTCACCTTTTTTCTTTTTTTTTTTTTTTTTTTT